GATACTCCTGCAAGACTATACACACACACACACACACACACACACACTCATGAATTCTAACTATAGAGGCTTATTACAGAATAATAATAATAATTGATAGAAGTAGTCCTTTGGGACACAACATGAATCCTTTGGTGGCTATTAAGGCTACAATTAATGATTATTATCCATTATCGCACAACTGTTGAAATTAAAAATGCCGGTCACAATTTCTCAGCACCCAACAGTGATTAAATTAACGATGATTCTCTCATAATGATCCTCATCTCATTAATGTCTGAACACATAAATATACTGCACACACACACACATGCTGAAAGTAAATACTACTTGTACACAAATACAATACACACACACACACACACTCACACACACACACACACACACACACACACACACACACACACACTTACAGCACTCATTCAGGAAGTACTTGTCCACATCATTGGCATCTTGTAGTGTTTTGCCAATTAAGTCGGCCCATCCGATGTTGTCCCCTGCAAAGCCAGACAAGCAACAATAATTATGACCATGAACTACACGTTTCATGGTGGTTGAACGTAATGTGGAAAATTGCATGCAACCACTTAGTTTGATCATAAATGTTGCTGAATGTAATAATATATCATGAGGCTATTGGTATGTCTACTGCATAACAGATATATTACACTTACAAAGTTTTGACTAAGCAACTGTGATATATGTCAAAATGAAGCACTCACCACCTCACCGGTTTGAGTCACTTTTATGTCTATAACCAAGCAGCCAATGGCAATGAACTAGACTACACACTCATGTTTTAACTTAACAAAAGGGGATTATAACCCATCCATCCTTTATCTTTATCCGCTTATCCTGTTCAGGGTCATGGGGGGACTGGAGACAATCCCAGGTGACATTGGGTGAAGGCGAAGGCAGGGTTCAAGTAGGGGGGAGTAATTTGTTAAATCGGGTGCAATTTAGACAGTTCTCCTCTTCTTCACTTCCCGGAAGTCAACACGAGCTGATCGACAACTGGAAGCAGAATCGAACCAGAGTGTATTTCAGCAGTGTTTCCCACTTGGATGTGTTTATACCCCCTGAATGAGACTGTGTTTTCACGGCTTGTTACTTGATGCTAACTTACAACACTGATCACGTACCCTCCAGTGAAATACCTCCGCTGAGTAAATCTATGCTCTTCTTTATAATCGCAGTGGTTGTGTCAAAGCAAGCGAACATAATACGCCTGTTTGGAAATGACCAATGTTAGGGTAGTGTTTCTGCCTGTGAGAAGCCAAGTCTCAGGTGTGTCTTTTTAGGGGTGGATTTAGTGATTAGATTCAAACACTGTCTTGTTTGAGTTTTCTCTAAATGTTGGTATTGGCAAGAAGAAATACTCTAAACTATTACCTATTAATGATAAAACTATTAATGCTGCACAATAAAAGTCTTGCATTCAAATGTTAACTTCAAGTGAAGAGGGAAAGAAACAAAGTATCATTATTATTATTAACACATTGCACTTACATTTACTTAACGTCTGCTTTCAATTCTAATGTGATGCTGGATAGTTTAATAAACAATAATGAATCATATTTTATAATAGATCATATTTGAATTGTTATATTTTGCGAGTAAATATGGAACGTAATCAGCAACATTTCTCTGTAAGGTAAATTACTTTAGGGGCCTTTTATTAGATATTAGTAGTTATTCCATGTACATTTTTTTTTAAATCTCAGCATCATAATAAATCTCAAGCTGTTAGAGACCCTTAAAGTTGGGCCCCCAGGCGGTAACTGGTGAAGTCTGCCCCTGGTGTTTTTTCCTGAACCAAAGCAGAATCCACTGACCGTGAAGAAGTCACGACTTGGGTGACTTCAGGTTCTATTGCCCTTGGCCATAGAAAGTGCAGTGTTGAGCATGAAGGTGTTTGCTTTAGCGTTTTTTTTTTGAGGAAGCCGCAAGCAGCAACGCCACAGGCCAAGAATTCAGTTCGTTCTGAAGAGGCATGTGTTGAACTGGAACTGCACTACAAAAATCTCAATGAGGCTCCGTCGATGTCGTTTAATGAAAGTCAAATTTGCACCAGCGGAATAAATTACAGCCAATTGGAGCTGTCAGACATGCATGTTGTCTTTGACAGGAAGCCAGCACATTCTGTGTGCACACCAACCACAGTTTACAGTCAGCTAACATTGAAAGCCTCCCTGGTGCTGTAAGTGAAAGTAGATAAGAAACAGATTTGAAGAGTCACAGCTGATCATGAGCAGATGTGATGGAGGGATATTTTTCTTTGCTTATGGAAGGCCATTTTCGGACTAAGCCTTTTTGTGTAGTTCAAGTTCACTACTATGCAAGTGCCATTTATCCTTTTAAGTGGTGAAATGTGCCCAGAGTTGGGTAAGCACTGCTATTGAAGCTGAGTACTGAGGTGAAAGTATGTTTTGACAGATCACTCGGGGCTGCGGTGGATGTCAGCCTTGGCTGTCGTAAAATCTGCTGAGCTCTCGTGAGACCATTCTCAAACCGCATCTCTTTAGGCTTCACTTTCAATTAAGTCTCCAGATTGAAGCGTTGCCATGTTGCTTTTCCACAGTTGTTGCTTGATGAACTGGCTGACCTGTAGAAGAGCAGCGCACTCCACTTCAACTCCTTTATCATCTGATATTGACATCGATCTGACTCAAATCCATCCAGCACTTTGGTATAAAAGGAGATATGGCATTACCTGTGTGCATTACTGTTTAAATATGCCTCAGACTGTCTTTGAGCCATTCTTTGTCCATTGATCATCTGAAACCTGGTCTGCACCTTCTCATTCCCACTGACAGGGTTGTTCACTCCAGCTTTCAGAGCACGCTGTAGTGCAAGGGAGCCCCTGGAGGACCGAACGTAACAATCTTTAAAAGCAGAAATATTCACACTTAGATCTACACCTGTGACTAAAATATAAGAGCTCCCACATCTCACTGGAAGGAGCTTGGATTAAAGAACAAGTTGCAGGTGCAGCTGTTAACCAGTCCTGCAGATTTACAGACGACGGGGAGGGACAGACGGTGAGCAGCTTTTATCAAAAACGTTCAATTAAATGAAATTTCCCGTGATTTATGCAGGTGTTACCGAAATCAAAAAGGCATTCATGTCAAATAACTGTCTACTCCACAGATACAAGTGCATGCTTTCAGACTTTCATACATTCAAGCTGAATGCTGAACTCTGATGAAGATGTTTGTGTACAGATAGACCAATGGTGGGGCTCAAGTATCTGCCGTTTTGGCGTCTGACTAGATCAGTGCCTTTTTTGCAAGACATTTTATTCTATTTTTTTTGTGTTATAATGCCCGACAACTGCATTTGAGTTGTTATTCAGCAAGACACAGCCAGCTAACACAGTCAATGCACGCAAATTGAGCGCCCTGAGAAGCATCATAGAGGCAGAGTGCAATAGAGTCCCGCTCCCAACAGAGAGAAAGATCAATGCATGGATGCACGAACTTTTCCAACATGGAAAAGAACCAAGAACTAAGTTTTTAGAAGTTGCTGAACTCAAAAACTGAGGATACAGGCAATTAGATGTGAGGCATCAGCAGGAATAATGGAAAACTGTGGGATCCTGACACTCAATACCTCTAACTTTTCGTGTGCAGTAAGCATTTTGTCCAAAAATATCAGTTTGAGGCTAACCATAATTCTGTCAGTTTAGCTAATGCATTTGGATATTATGCAACTTCTGAAATATGTGGATAGTGTTACAACAGAAAGCTATGCAGTTTTATATCTTGCCCAACAATTATCTAACAACAAGCAAGCTAGTCCAACGTAACATTGAGTTGTCAATGAAAAAGAGTGAAATCTGGTCGGCTAGTCACTTCCTTTGTCGGCCAACCTCCCTTCACTTGGAGAGAGAGATACTTTTGTTTGTGCACTTTTTGTGTCAACCATTCTGCATGACATTCACACTGTGTATATTTTAGGTAGGTGTTGGAAGGAGAGAGAGTATAGCAGCTGTGCTCAATGTGAATTTTAGAAGTAACAGCCTGGGGAGATGCCCAAGGGAGACTACGGGTGTGATGTGTGGAGAGGAGAGGAAAGGAGAGAATAGCAAAGTGAGGAGAGGAGAGGACAGTCTAGGAGAACTAAATGAGACCAGTAGAGAACATTTTTTGTAAAAATGTGTTGATTTTGAATGGTTATGTATTTCATAGATCTGTATGAGTGAAATAAATATAAGTAAAACATGTTCTACAGTATGTCACTTTATTTTTTAGAAATAATTAAAGAATTCTCTGTTTGCTTTTGTTCCCCAAAATGGCTGTGAAGATGGTGCCCATTAGGTGAGTCTCTCTTCTCAACTTCTTCTCATTACGGCAATGTTGCACAACGTCAAGGATGGAAAAGCGAAGTAATACAGCAGAGAGTGGGTTTGTGGTTATTGGCTGGATGACCCTACTGAGACTAATTTGTGCATCCTCTTGATCTAGCTGACAGGAGAAAATATATTTTTAACCAACCCGCAGCAAATAAATAGTTTTTCAAAATTCCAACTCTTTATCAGATAGAGTAAATGAGTCCGATATAGCCTCCAGTGATGGATGATGAAAAACGTGGTGTAAGCAGTTTTATTCATTGAAAATGGCTCTTTTTGAAATACTTAACTTGACTATTGTGTATTACATCTTCTAGACAGTTAGTATATTGTAGAGGATGAAGACGGTGAGGAGGTTTGTCCAGTGGTTCATCCAGATGACCACGGAGCCGGAGACGTTACAGGAGAGCAAGGCACCAGTTGGTCTGGAAGCCTGTCTGTCTGTTTTCTTGTTACGATAGTAAGAGAACCGTGTTTGCTCTCAAAAAATAGTTGCACACATCACATGAAGTATTGCTCGAATTAACTTGTGGTCGCATGAAAATGACTTCCAATGCTCTGGCTCAAACTATTTAATGAAATCTTTTAACAAACAATATCAAAATGAAACAGTCTTTGCTTTTCAAAATGAAGGCATGTGGAGTATTATGATCATGGGGTTACTGTTGCCTTTCACATCCAGGGGAACTGGCATTTCTGATTAATACTGAGCCAAGTGAAAATCTGAAACTTTTTCCCTTCCTGCTTGGCTGAATCTAGCAAGACACAATATCTGTTGTGAGCACATGCTGAGTGGATAATGATTGCATGCTGAAGCCTTTGATTAATAAACAAGCATCCTCAATTCCTAATCTTGTGTAACATTTAAGATGGGAGCTATTTGGAAAACTTTAAATAATTACTTGATCACCTCCGCTTAATCGGCTCACTTGCAAATGACAGTATAACAATAATGAAAATTAACTTTATTTATATAGCACCTTTAAAGAGTTTACAAAGTGCTTTGACAGACAAAGCAGCAAACGCAAAGGCAATAATATCAATATCAGAAAGCTCAGTGAGATACTATAGAAATAAATAAAATAATTTAGTAAAATAATTTAGTAAAATCAACAAATAAAGCAGAAATGCGACGACGCCACATAAAAGCCAGTCTATAAAAATGTGTTTTAAAAAAGTATCAACTCTCTTCCAATTATGCACATATTTTCGTGCTGATCCATAATACATTTGCTGGAAAGAACCGAGGCCACAATATGGTTGAGACTCAAAACTTATTTGAGGCGGCAATTATATTTTGAACCTTCGTCCTTTGCCCTGCACTGTGACGATTTCTACTTTTGTAGCCGTAATGACGTTAGACAAATATAAATTGCTGTCAGAAGAACTTGTAGGATGATCTCTCTGTCTTTCACTTGTGTGGATGCACAAAATCGAACTTGTGCCCACATTGTGAAGAGGTACATTTGTCATATGAAGCCGCTATGACTTTATACACACACACACACTTACCACAGCGCTGCTCGTCAGCTCCATTGGGGCAGTCTTTGTGTCCGTTACACTGCAAAGCCTGTGGGAGGCACTCACTTATGTTCCCACAAGGGAACTGGCCGAGGGGACATCTAGCGTCTACTTCCAGCCTGCTGGCCAGCAGCGCTGAGGGAGAAATTCAGGAAAGAGAGTGAGATTACATGGACCTCAAAATTAGCACCACCTTTCAGCAGTCTTTCTCCTGAAATATCAGGGGAAAGAGTCACTTGGCAAAAAAACCTGTCAAATTATCAACAGATGTTAATGTTAAAGCAGGCAGTTGAAATGAAAGGATTTTTAGACCGATAGATGCGCAGCAACTCCCACTTTGGAGACATTCATAGCTGCAGGTATTGAATAAATTCAGAGACTCTAACAACGTTCTGGCAAAACCCGGATTACATTCAGGGGCATGAGGACATATTATTTGTGATACTCATCAATCTGACCTGTTACTGACTCTGCCTTCATTGCATTTAAAGTTATATCTTTATGGACATTTACAATTTCTAAAGCCCGTCAAACTGTTTCTTTTGCGCTCTCTTTCGAGTACAGTTTGATTCCCACAGCCCAAACACCCCATCTCTCCCAAACAGATGGGAAAATGACCCGTTAAGCTTGTGTGGTATACCTAATCCCCTTCAATGCAGATAATCCATCAAAGCCGTCATGTCTTGAAACCAAGACACTTCACCTTTTTTACTCTTACTGCACTATTACTTTCACCTCTGCGCCGCCATTTAACCCTCGACCCATATTTTGATGCATGCGAAGCTTGCGAACGAGGGTGACTGAACAGATGATTGATTTATCTCAAAATTATTTCAGGTTTCATTTCAAAAGCTATCAAATAGCACTGTTTTGTTATTTAAGACCAAAATACAAGTTCGTTACCAGACACCTAAGCTGCCGTTAAGACCTTTTTTGGCTGTTCACTAACTCCAGCCTGTCATGTCTCTGGCTTGAAAAAAAAGCCAGGAACAAATCTGTCATTGATGCCTGCCAGATAAAATAAATACACTACTCACATCTGCAATACTGCACATGAAGTATTTCTCTTCTCTTACTGACACCCAATATAACAGACTTAAAAAGCTCTTTCTTGTACTTGTTGTATATAATCAGCAAACAACATTGTGTTGTAAATGAGCTGTTTTTTTTAGTGATATCACAAAGGGAAATAAAAGTGTTAGATGCTGAAATGAAAGAGGAATGAGAAGATTAAAAGTTTGTGGGTTGACATGCTTAATTTGTTTTTAATATCTTTGTACACTATGACCTGGTTATGTCACTAGTGTGATTATTATAATTCTTTGTATTGTTATATTAGGGAGGAAGAGCTGATTCACAATGTAATTCAGAGCATTTTATATTCCCATAGAGGTACTCACTGTCACATTTTCTCCTTTTATAAATCCCAACCTCTGTGTGGAAAATGCACATCTTTCAGCACAGTTAAAGCTGCCATTTTTGCATGTGCAACATTGGAATCTGCATTTATAAACTTGCCCTACAAGGCACAAACGTTGCAAGAAATCCCACTAAACCGCATCCCAATCAAGACCAATCAGCACCACTGTTCAGTTCATTGAGGAATCCCCAGGATGATTCAGAAACGCAAACACAGGGAACATGTTCTCTGGTAGGTGAACGGCACTGTCAGCAATGTCTACGACTGGGAAGGGTCACTGCTGACTAAGAGATCACAGGTGTGCAGGACAGGGCAGCTCACTGAGGGCACGGGGTAGACAGGTGAGGGACACACACAGTATTTGGTTTGTGGCTGGTGTATACATGCTGGCATTAATGTTTCATGAGGCAATTTTGGTGAATTATTTCTCATGTCACGTGAGAATAGTTTTGAATTTCATTGAGGATTTCAGAGGTGGTCATTAAATAATATTTCCTTCACGAAATTATTAAATTGCATTTATGCCAACTGCTTACAGGGGGAAAGTCCTGTAAAAACACTTAACCGCAAAAGACTTTGGAATAAGGATCATGGTTTTATCGAATCAACACTACAATTCTGGAGGACAATTATAGAGGTTATCAAAGCAGGGCTTCGCCTCGCCCAACCCCATCTAAAACCCATTGAGTAAGCGTTAAATAGATTAGAGAGGGCTCTTGTTCCTGCTGGCATCACGGTGAGGAAGAAAAACCAGACTTTATCCAGAACCGACATGTGTGAAGAGTAAATATACAATTGGATGAATGGGAGACTCACAGTGTGAATACCAAAAATACATTACAACAATATTTAAGTAAGCAATGTTCAGTCTTTCATGTTTTGTCTCTAATTTATGTGACCTCAGTGGACAGTGGTTATTGCAGTACCTTCTGTAAGGTGTCGCCCGCAGTACGCAGCCGAGAACACAAAGTCCTCATGACATTTCATGACATTACCTGAGAAGTCGCAACATCTAAATCAAACGCTTTGGAAAAAGTACATTCTAACACGCACGTTGAGTCACACAGCAAGTTTAACAATTAACTGTCTAGATTGTCTTGGCACAGCATTGCATTCACAGTGTAACCTTTGAATCCATTCGCATGAACACACTCAAATTCAGAACCATTGAGATTTGACCTGAGATGTGCCTGCAGGACTATAAAGCTATAAAAAGAGACGACATGCCATGTATGAAAACAAACACAGCGGAAAGGCTCTGCGGTGCAGAACAAAGAAAGAAGTGTGGTATTCTGTCCTCAGCATGAACTATCTCCGAAAACAGTGTCCCTCTTTCAGCTACTAGTGTTGCCTGTGGAGAAGTGATTTATTGTTTATCTTTTTGTGATTGAAAGTGATTGAAAGTACAATGCAAACTACTGTATGGGCATTTAGACAACATAATGGATTTTAAATTGAACACAGAGTACGAGAGTCAGCACGTCTCCTCCACAATTAATATTTTATTTCAAACCCAATGTCCTGGAATCAATTGATTAGTTTGTTATTATGAGCTGTGTCAGCAAGAGCCGCTGTGCTGAACAGACAATACATCTGAACAAAATAAACCTCAGCAAACATGAAAGATGAAAAATGACCTGCGAACAGACTGAAAAAATAAAAACAGGCTGAGAACTGATCCGCCTCAGGCAATAATGTTTCCCCTGGACACATAGGTGTCTCTCAGTTATTTGTTTGCGTGTTTTGTCTTTCTGGTTGGCAACTGGTTCTATGAAGTGAAATATATACAAAGCCTGCAATTTTTGCTGCAGTGCTATCATTGAACACAACTTTGAGCTCAGTTAATAAAGTTTCTAAAGAAGCTTCCTGTTAATTCCGGTTCTTCTATGTTTAGAAAAAAAAGTAGATTCATCTACAAAATCTTGAAATACTAAAAGTGGTTCATTACAGACAGAAGCTGAATTGTATTTCTATTTAAAATCTGAAGGTGCCCTGTGGAGTTTTTGACCACTGGTACTATGGACCTGTGATTTAATTGAGACCGTGTGTCGTTTGTATTGTGCACACACATGCATGAAGTGTCACTATTCTGCTGATTGACAGCTGGTGTCAACAGCGTGAAGTAACGTGCCCACAAAGGCAGTGAAGACGACTTCTTGCGGGAAAACATGGATGTAAATGGTGCCCGACTTTTCAAAAATTGCTTTGCAAATATTTAACGAGGAAGGGAATGCACACAACACATTTGTTAGACCTCAAGGACACATCACTCACCATGTGTTCTAGTGAGACCACCTGAATGTTCGTTTACAATAAAACAGCAACTATTGGAATGTGTTGAAACCATGTTGCTTGTAATGACCATGACTGAACATCTACCCCTGCAGCCTGCTTAAAGTCAATTAGTGGATTTGTCAGGTGCTAAATATTCTATTTATTTTCTGTTTTATATATATATATATATATATATATATATATATATATATATATATATAAACAAATAGAATCTGTAACCAACCAAAGGAAATATTACATACAGTATATTAAGAATCTCTGGCAAAGCTCCCCTACTCTGAGACAATGATAAAAAATACAAGAAGCAGACCCAGTTTGACACAGCACCTCTCCCAGAGGCAGGGAACCTTCACACATGGAGACTAAAGCCAAGAAATGAACAAAAACTGACATCATACCACCTCCGTGGCCGTCCAGTCTGAAAGATGCTCGTGTCACATCTGGGTTCTCACATCAACTGTCTCTATTCAGCGACCACTGGGACAAATATATGTGTACTGAATACATTTGGAGACTACCAGCTGCAACCAGAGAACCAGAGAACCTCGAATAATGTTGATGGTTGACTGAATCCTAAATCCTCGCTCCACGGTCCCTGCTCCACTGGAATCTCTGCTCAAGGTTCGATAATGGAAATTGCCTGTTGGCGCACCAACTGCCCCCTCTCCCTAAAGACAGAAACGACTCGATCTGCTAGCAATCATCGGTGTAATTTTCTGTTATCTGACAGGAATTCACTGTTTGAATGCTTTATAATTGTCTAAGGGATGATTGTCTGAAGATTGAATGTCTTCCTCATTTCCAGTCCTCCACAAGTCCCAGAAAGTGATTATTTAATTTGTGACCGCTCTGTGAAGGATTCAACGTCCCTGACCCTGGAGCTCTGCAGCCCTAGTGGAAAAGTTTGATTCATTGTGAATAGCTCGTCAATTTCCCTCAGAAAAATATGGAGTCAATTCTGACTGAGGTAATGAGATGCAGTAGAGACACTGTCTGCTGTTTACAGCTGATGCCGGTTTTGTAGATTTTGCTCTGTTCCTTTTTTATTGTCCCTTGTGGTAAATTGTTTGTAGTTTTATCTTGTTATAATCTTTTATACTTCTTGAATGTTCATTGTAACTGTCAAGTGATGTTAAAAAGCAATAACCCCGGTAATATCAATTGGCAAATTGAACAAAATCAAAAACATGTGTGAAGTGGTCATTTTTGCATCCCATTGTGCCAGCAAATTTCACAGTTTGGAACCAAACAACAGCATTATGTGTCCTGACTCATCACTTGCACACACACACACATCCACATCATGCCAGAACTCGTGCAAATATTTTGAAACAATAGGAGATCTGAAGATGAGTCACAGACTGGGAGGTGGAGGGAGTGTGATTCGAATATTTAATTACCTGATCTTTAACAGCTCAACCTCCCACTATAAAATCTCCAGTAATACCAACATCTGACGGATTGAGATGTGACAGTTTAGAGAAGAAAAAAATGTTTGTGTAATTTACTACGTCAAATTCTCTGACTATTTTCCCCTATATTATTGATTATGAATCTACTCTGTAAAGCTCAGAAAAAAAAGCATCCTTAATTTTAGGCTTCTATCCTTATGAGGACACTGGTCAATCTTGCAGCCTATTTCATGCCTTTTCGCCTCCATCTGCAGAGCAGTGAGGACAATTCCCCAAAGAAACACGATTTCTATCCAAATCATATAACTGCAGGCCTTATTTGGTGTTTAATAAACCGTTTCCTACCCATGGGGCCAGATAAGTATTTTTTAAAACGGCTTACTGTGGAGATAATATTGATTAATTACGTGTCACTCATGAACTGTTTCTTCAATTGTGAATGTCAATATTCATTCACAAAAGCACCCTGAACAACTTGTGATGAAAGCAAACGTGAGAGGGAAATATAACAATAACAATGCTCAGAGAAATATGAGAAACACGGCAAAAAGACTCCAATCAATAAAAGAATAGCCATGTAAGCTTCTCCTCCCTCCATGTTTCTTTACCTCTAATCTCAGTATGGGTCAGGTGGATGAGCAAAATGATGACAGGCACGTCCATCCTGAGGCTCAGAAGTTTTCCTGCGCTCATGTCGCTCAGGCTGTAGAGCTGCAGATCAATTAACGATAGGTTGAAAAAAACCGCCAGACGAGAGATAAGTGAGCCGAAGTCCAAGTCAGTCCAAATGTTAGAGCGTGCCCGACATTTAAAAACGACCGAAAGGGCGAACTAAGCCATTGGAAGGACCTGTAGAAGTAGCTACGCGGTGCGCAAAAACATCCAGAGGTGACAGAGACATTCTCTCCATGTTGTCCTTCAGGAGCTTTCTGAAGACTCTCCGTTGAGCGCAGTATGATATGTCTCTCTCTCTCTCTCTCTCTCTCTCTCTCTCTCTCTCTCTCTCTCT